GGATTTCTAAATACCAGGTATTTTCATTAAAATATTACATCACAAGTATATTTTACCTTAACTGTGACTGAATGAATATATTCTCAGAAATAAATATGGAAATGTAATATTTTTGCTGAAATGACGTACGTATTACAGTGGAAAGTGGGATAAAATCATGATGAAATCAATGACTCGCTTTCTTTCGTTGTTCAAAAGATTTTACCGTAATCGATTTTTGAATGGTTTTCAGTTAAAAAACTGTTGTATTACAATAATATTCTATCCTCTCACTCACGGGAGATACATTACCAGGGCCTGATGATATCCCATTTTCAATGGTCCGCCAACATCTAGTCTGTGTTTTTCCCACTGAGAGAAAGCATATGACACAGCTTGGAGATTTGACATCCTCAAGTAGCTTCACAATTTTAGTTTGCAGATAAATTTACCATCAATAATAGGACTGTTTTTGAGACGTCGCACTTTTAGGGTCCATGTAGCCACAAAAATGTCAGCACCACAAATTCAGGAGGACAGGGTTCCTCAGGGCACTGTCTTGAGTGTGACACTGTTTGCCATAGTAATAAATGGAGTAGCAGCATTGGTTCCAGGTGGTGTATCAATCTCATTATATTTAGACGACTTGGCCATTTGGTATGCAGCTTCCCGCCTGTCAGTGGCTGAACGTTGCATGCAACTTGTACTAGACAAGATTTCACGTTGGACCAAAGAGTATTGTTTCAGGTTTTCTTTCTTGAAAAACATTGTCATGCAGTTCTGCTTTATGATCCTTGTGTGCGGTGAGTCAGACACCCGCTTCGTGGGGATTATCTTCTACAACCGGCTTACATGGCAGCCACATATTAATTACCTCAAAGAGTCTTGCCAGCGTGCTCTCATGTTATTGAGAGTCTTGAGGCACAAGTCGTGGGGTGCTGACCCAGGAACTCTGCTGCACCTTTTTCCACATGCTAGTTAGACCCCAACTGTGAGGCATACTCCTGAGGCTAGACTCAACACTGAGCTCTATTCATGCCTTGGACCGGTGCCTTCAGGTCTTTGTCAATCCCAAGTCTGCTAGTTGATGTTGATGAGCCACCCCTTGATCTTGGATGACAGTATCTCCAGGTCCAGTGTTGGTTTCACCACCACCACCTTCCACAGTCTGTAACCAACACTTGTGTAGTTGACGAGACTATGTCCCCACACTACACTCAGCACCCAAGCCTCCCATGAACCTTTTGGCTTCAGGGTAAGGGAGGTTGTGAGTATTCATTACCTTCCTCCTGTTCAGATATGCCCCATGTGGTGCCCTAGTGCCGCTCTGTGGATTCTCTCTCAAGTTCAAGTGTGTCAGTATTTTAACAAAATGAAGGACTTACTCCCTCCCGGTGTGGTTCATTCTCTTTCCTTAGAGCATGTCTCCTCTCACACAGGGACTATCCCTGTTTACACTGACGGCTCTAAGCTCAGATGCAGGGCTGGGTTTTGGGGTGGTCTTTGTTGAATACTGTCAGGACGGTACAGTGGTCTCCCCACTATGACATCTATTTTTACTGCTGAGCTTTCGGGTATTTTAGTTGCCCTCAAGAATATTTTTAC